TTTTTTTATCAGATCGCCCCATTCGGCAGTCATTTCTTACAATATACTGTCCCCATGTTTCTAGTGTCATGCACAAGCAGAAGTGCCGTTCAGCATATCTTTAATTGAAGCCCACGCCACTGTTTGTTTTTCAACAGGCTTTGTCGTTTGAGGCTGACGCTCACTCGCCAACTATCTCGACGATGCATACCCTCTCCGCCTTCTGGTTTCATGCTGATTCCAATTCTAATTTAGTGACATGACTACTTAAGCAGGAGCTAAAATGCATGTACAATGACGATGTAAAGAAACACGAGCAGTGTGGGATCTACATCATCTGCTGTTTCGCATTTCTTTTCAAGCGGCTCTAGACTGGTTGGTAATAAAAAGTAACTAGTGCCATCCATTATGCGATCAAGAACCATTATAGATTTTGTGTACGTGCGTGCGTGCGTGTGTGCGTGCGCCACTGTGGTCAGGGTGTGATGAAAAAAGTGCACCGCACTGTTCGCGTTTCTTTCCATCCCCTGTTACATTTAGACAACCAGGCGAATAGAAAGAGTGGAGACTTCAGCGACATAAATCAAAACGCCGTGCTTTTTCCCATCTATTCCATGGTGTCTATATGTTATAATTGTTACCAGTGATTTGTGTTTACAACCAGTGCGCTGCACTTACCGAAGGGCCCGCCACGGGCTCGAGGTCGTCGTCTGAACCCACGCTGTTGGGCGGCTCGTCGTTCTCCGAAGAATCAGAGCCCGACCGAGAGTTCTTTCTCTTCTTGGACTTTGTTTTAGTTATAGCAGACGTGTCCTTAGGGGCGCCTCGTTTACGCACTGGCGCCTTGGCGGGTGCAGAATCTGTTCCCCGTTCAAGGACGCCGGGACTGGTGGTGCTGGTCAACGTTGCAGCGTTGCCGTCCCCGCCATCACCGTGGCCATTGGCAGCATCATCGCCGGTCGCCTTCTTGGCGGCCCCGCGGCGCGCTCCGGTGGTCTTGGCCTTCGCTTCCCACTCGACCTTTGGCACAACGCGCTCCGCGAACGCCGAGGGCTTCGTCTCACTTTCGGCCCTCTTAGACGCCATGGCCTGCGAGATGAATGCATATGCAAGAGCAGTCCTAGGTGTCGATCCAGCATATGTGGTAATAAAGGGGCACGGCAACGCTAAGCACCGTAAGAACTTTACTGGTCTGCTGATATTAACACAACCAAACACGTCGCCGCATACATCAACAAAGCACCTGCAGTCTCGCATAAAAGTTAAGTTCACTCGCACACTTTCGCACCTTTCGTGTACAAGCTGTCACCAAGTGGCCAGTTCTTACAGAAACAAAATTTACGCATCTTCGCAAAGCGAATGATGTCGAGCGGGCAAAGCTAGGTCTTAAGGGTCATAATGTCTACGTTGAAGTCGCCGACTAGTGTTTCGCGTTTGTGCTTGAAGGTGTTTTCTATTGTTCTGACATAATTATGATTTATAATAGTCTTTTGTTAAATTAGTGTTTGTGTGTAATATGTTTTGACTGTACCATACGTTACCCGAGCGCTGTCCATATATGCAATCTAAATTGATACACATAAAGGGACAAAAGGTCGCATAGTCTCGGCGACAAAGCTAGGTCATAAGATCCATAGTATCTACGTTGACGGCACCGACTATAGGTTTGCGCTTGTGGGTGTCTCATATTTTTCTGTAGAAAGTATCGTTCATATTAGTGTATTGCTTAACCTATTTTCGGGTGTCACATATGTACCAACTATACCGTACGTTACCCGACCGTTATCCCATTCAACGTAGCCGTGACAACAGACACTGGACAAGCCTCGCCCTTAAGATACATCGCCCCTAAAGCTATAGGTACCTTAGAGCGTCCGCCCTTGGACCCCTTGGTTCGTCTTGACGCCAGTAGAGTCCTCTTCATCGCGCTGCGCCTGCTCCACTTCGTCCAGCTTGGCAGAGAAGGCGTCCAGGTCTTCTTCCCAGAGGTTCTCGGGGGACTTTCGACGCAGCACTTCGAGTTCCTCTCGCTTCTCGTCGCGCTTCTTGAGCAGGTCGTCCTTCCTCTCCATAGTCAGACTCCAAAGTGGCATGCCCAGGAGGTAGTTGTAGTGCACGCTGCCACCGTCCTTGTCTCGCTCCTCATCCGGTTCTTCGGCTGCAACCGTTCAGTTTTTAAGAGGTTAGTTTTCAAAAAAAATATAAAAAATAAGGGGGAATGGGGAGTCGAGGCTCAGAGTCGCCCTGTTATTTAGGATAATCCCGATTTGTACGGAAGGATAAAACAGTAAGGTTTCAGTCACAGCGTCCAGAATCGGAAATGACGCATAAAATGACGTTTTTATCGAAACACCTACACTTGCGTTCCTTCAGATTTCAGCTTCATTAAGGACAGATCTGCAGCTGTTGCCGAGAAATCTAGCTTTATTAGTTCTCTTTGGCTGCTTAAGATGCTTCTGCAATCATTAGTATAACTGCAAATGAGTTCTGCGGAAACCCGCAAGGTGCAGAAAGGGTTAGGAAAGGAAAAAGGCAACCACCTGTTTGTAGCACGAAGCCACAAGGCAATCCGTGCGGCTTTCTCCAAAAAAACAGCCTCTTAGTTGCTGAAAACTTCGTCCTGGTCCGGAGTTCGAACCCGGAATCAGTGGATTTCCGGGGTGGTTGCACTGTCAATTGAGCTAACCAGGAAAGTAGCAATTGACAGCGAGAAGACGAATTCATCGACAACTCGAAGCACATGAACACAAGTATTGCAAATGAGTTATGCGGAATCGAAAGTTGCGGGAAGGTTAAGAAAGGGAAAATAGACATGCAACCAACCGTTTGTAGCAAGATGGCTGCAACCCCGAGTTTGAACACCGGATCAGAACAAATTTTTCGGCAGCTAAGTTTTTTCTTTGAGAAATCTATGTGGATTTCCTTTTGGCTTCGTGCTACAAACAGTTGGTTGTCTTCTGTCCCTTTCATCAGTGTAACTACTCAGAACGTCATTTTTTTCTTCAAAAAAGAAGTTCAAGTACAAACTGACGCTTGACGTAATGAGAAATCCTCGAACAAAAAAATGTATACCTTGAGCCACCTTTCTACAAAGCGATCTTCATTTGGGACAGTACTGCAGCAATAACAGTAGCTGTGCTAAGAAATATGAGTACAAGTCTGCTAAAAAAGCATAGGCTCCACCAATGTTTTATGCTCGTCGATTTCTGGTTATAGTGTGTTCATATAGTTTTCGTCATGACATGTTTCAGTTCCAGTAAATATTCGTTGTTCAGGCAGCCCTTCTCCAGTCTCATTATGCGTGCTGCATCTTAGGCAAACATAGAAGTCTGGCCAACGGCTGATTGCGCTTCAACGTGAGGTTCGAACCACGCAATTGTAATAATGATAGTACCATAATAATAGTAAAATATGATAATTTATTAATGATAATATAATGATCATAATACCATAATGATAATCAATATAATAATTATAATAATTATAATAAATATAATAATTATAATAATTATAATAAATATAATTATAATAATGATAATAATTATAATAATGATAATAATGATAATGATAATGACGGCGGCGGCGGCGGCGGCGGCGGTGGTGGTAGCGGTGATGCCTAGAGCTTCAAGTCCCAGAACGACGTTATGATTGTGAGGGACGCCTGTAGTGGAGGGCTCCAGAAATTTTCGACCTATCTGGTGTTCCTTAACCTACACTGACATTGCACAGTGCCCGGCCGCCCTTTCGCTTCCACCGAGATGTCACCGCAGCATCGAGCGCGCAAGGTCCGGGTCGGCATCCGAGCACCGAGGCCATTCGATACACCATGGCGGATTTCCAACTACACATCTCTCGCGACCAAGTCAGATGCCTTAGCATCTATGCCGTAATTCGTGTCGACAATTAAAGCATCTGGCACCCTATATACATGTGGCAAAGTCATTTAGGTACACAAGGTGGTGTTTTCTTGCTTCACAGATGAAATATTGCAGTCACGTAACTTGCCCCGATAGCTGGAACCTTTACAAACTTTGAAGGTGACCAACGAAAAACAGTATGTGAAGCATTTCGCTATTCCTTGGACGACCTTGTTTTGGAGCAAATGACTGGCAAAATAGAAGTGTACCGTAGTTCAGTGTTGTTACCATCGGAATGATTGAAGGCGCGTACCAATATTCCCGTATATTGCATGGAAAACACCGATATAGTATATCGCATGGTCAAAGTCCGTTACACAAACAGTGCTTAAAGCTTCCACTCAATGAAGGGGAGGCCTCATAAGCCGACAACCGATATAGAGCGGATGCGCTCACACACCCTTGCACATACATGTGTGGCAACGCAATCTGCGCACAATTACACGCAGCCTCCGCCTTGCTATCATTCAGCCCTACGTGACACGACTGCACTCTGCATTGCAATCGGATAAGCCGCATTACCACCGCAGCGACATTCGAGGCCCAAGTCACATCGAGTCTCATACGACTTATGCATTCTTTCGTCATGCGTCACACTGCGTGCGTTGCGGTATTCCACAAATGGTACAAGACAGAACAAGTTAAGATCAACGTCCTCATCCGCAAATTGTACAAGGTGGAACTGGGTCTACCCGAGTTCGCCAGCACGCACCGGCTGCCTCCGCTTGGACTTCACAACGCGCTCAGCAAAATAGCCGAGGCGCAGTGCACTTCCAAACTGGAAAGACTATCGCGCAGGAAAAACTATCGCCAGATCATGAAAAGTCTCGGCATCTGTTACCACATCAAACAAAGCCAGAAAGTCGCTGCTGCAGACGCGATCCGACAAACGCTTAGGGTTGACCCGATTCCACGGAACGTTCACCCGGAACACAACCGGGCCAGAAGAGAGGCCGGCGCAAGAGCTCTCCTGTGCACTTACGTCGACGAAATGTGAACGCAGTTCTTGACGCCGCTGAATACGCAGACCGCTCGCGATTCACAATCACGGTCGTCGATTGGAAAGGCAAAACGAAAATATCGGTAAGTATTCGATGTGAGCACGCACAAGCAGCGGAGGAAGTAGCACTTGCGCTCGCTCTCGTGAATCCGACATGCACTACTGTCCTCTGCGACTCGAGACAAGTGGTCAGAACCTTCGCTAAAAGATAGATCTCGCAATGAGCGGCCAAAGTCTTACGCATTAAAAATTTCATCAGGAGGTAGAGCTTCCAACCAGACTCCTATGGTTCCCGACTCACATGAGAGATGTATCGGAGACACGCTGTAACCTAAATGAGATGGCACATGCCACAAGACGCACGAACTCGCAAACCGCGCCGGCGACCATCCTCTATGGGGAAACACCAAGGACCGTTTGATGACCTGTAGGGAAATTACCAAGGCCTTCTATACCTGGCCCGCCGAAACTTTCCTCCACCCAGCGAGAATGTGAACAGGATGCAGGCGGCGGCCCTACGACAGCTCTAGGCCCACATGTACCCCAACCCTATACCCAATATATATCCGACGAATGTATGCAAGATATGTCGTATTGAGGATGCCAAATTAAATCAGATGCTCTGGAATTCTACCAAAAATTCGCAAGGTGCTAAATCCAGAACCCTTATACCACGGAGGGCCGCTGCCTTGTGCAGCCCCAGCCTCGGCGACCAACTCCGGGCCGTCCAGCAGTCCCACGAGGTGGTGGTCAGGCAAGGTCCATAAGTCCCCACGCAGGAGACCTAAGGCCCGGTTGGCGAAAGCTCTGCCGGACTTCCAATAACGTTGTTACCAACCAACACGTATACCTCAGGAATCAACGTGCTGCGAAGCATGGGGAGGGAGGATGGCCGTGTTGTAATTATTTTATTGAGCGACGTCATGAAATGACGCTAAATATATGTATAAATGTTGCACACGCAGACATATGCTGAACAGTTCTAGATGTTTGTACACGCAGTTGTGTGCGCTTTCGCCACGATGTCAACAGGGAGATAAGTATTATAGCAACCCCAGTAGCGATAAGCTAATATGAAACGCTGGTGCTCACGAGCATGGTAGCCCTGGACACTGCTACATCAATTAACTCCCGCGCATATGGTAGCTAACCATATACATATCAGCCAGGGGGCAAGGGCCCCCCCCTCTAAGAAGTGGTAGGGGGGTTGAGCCCCCCCTACCTTTCGACAGTGGCCACTGTTGGCTGCGCGCTGAGGACACCAACAACTAAGGCGAAGTTTTTCTCGACCACATTAATCACCTTGTTATATTGTTTCGACAAAAGGAAAATATTACGTGGGAATGTTACATATAATGAAATATTTCCAACGATTCTCTGTGAATATTTTCCTTGTAGGATCTTTATGGTGCGGGCCGCTGAACGACGCTTTCGTGTCTTGTGCTGTAGCATTGCAGAGCAGGCTAGCGCTGAACAGAGGCCCAACAGCATTACATCACTTTTTCATGCTTTTATTCTGCTGTGCCTGGTGGCCAACGCATGCTACAGATGGGAATGAGGAATGTTTTTACTAACTGGTGAAAACACTTGCTGCTCCAGGAAAATAATTTTCTTTCATTAAAAAAGAATATCAGCGCTGCTCTGTCGAAGCTCCTGTGAGCTTATGAGTGCGATTCATTCTTTCTAATGTTTGGTTCTGTCGTACTGCAATCGCAAAAAAAAAAAATTGCGCTTTAGTCTCCAATCAACCTGATCAGTGATCAACCTTGCTTATGGTAGCTTGTAACGGTGGTGGCAGCTTGCAAAGTGGCGACAAATAAAGCAGTGGACTCGAGCAGTGGGAAGCTCAGCTTTTAATTTTGCCCCGAAACTTGATCCCACGAACCAGGGGATGGTAAAAGTCCGTGGCTTTTCTGCACTAAGAATGCCTAATTAAAAGTTAGGCTAGTTCGTTCTCATTAAACTTCAATTTACAGCTTACAGTTTTACAGCTAAGCATATTACTGTCACATCGAAGAAGCACAAACGTGCAGCGCTGCGTATTTTTCTTTTTCTCGCTTTTCCTCTCTCTCTCAGCAAGGATGAGCTAACGGAGAAGTATGCGCGCGCAAACTGCAAAACGCCGTTATGCTGCAAGTGTAAATACTCACTCAAATTCTTCTCGCCAGTATATCAAGAAATGAATATCCACTAAAGATGATCAGGTCAACTGAGTTTTTGAAGCAGAGGACAAGAACAGTTGTGCCAAGATTGAAAATATCAATAAAAAATAAAATAAATTGAATAAAAGCTCGGAATGACATGAAACAGGTTAAGTAGTGGAGGGTAGACTACTCGGTACGTCTGGGTTTTCCGTTTATTGTAGACTTTACGGTATCGAACTTGTAGACTAAAAACAATTCGTAGATTTCCCGCTCATGGGGTGAGCGTAAACCGGATTTCAATACCACTGCTTTAATTTTGTCGAAAGAATGACCAGGTATTGTTATGTTTTAATAAAGACAAATTTGCGAGAGTTCTGACGTGAGACATGATTATTAAATTGCGTTCTAAACGGTGTTTCAGTATGGCCAATATATTGTAGATTACAGGTATTGCTTTCATGCAAGTATACTACGTTGGAACTGTCACAATTTAGATTGCCCCTGATTGTTAGCTCAAAGCCAGTGGATGAACTGCTGACAGTTTGCGCAGTTACCATGTGCGCAAACACCTTGCACTGACTTCTCACAAGGACCACAGCCATTTTGTTTAGGGGTGGTGAGCTTAGAAGATGAAAGAATATCGCGGAGGTTCCGTGCGCGTCTGTAAATGACTCTGGATTGTTCTGGAAATATATTTTCTGGGCGTTCACTTTGAGTTCATATGTTATTGTGTCGCTTTAAAATGGCATTGACGTTTGGGGCTGACGCTGAATGGGTGAGCACAAGATTAGCCTAGAATGTACTGAAATCGTTGGGGATGGCTTTAATCAGGTCAATTTCGTTTAGTTTGTTGGCGTGCTTAATGGCGTCATGGACTATTTCCGGTGGGTATTTACGTTAAGAGCGAACGTATTAGATCCTGGCAATTCGAAAAGGAATCATTGTGGTTTTAGCATATTATTTTGAACCTGTGAGCTTACCTGTAAGGTCTTTATTTTTTAAAATGTCGGACGTGACTGCTATGGAAACGGAGAAGCTGATGCCTATCCCTCAGTTTGCGAGTTTTGTAGAGAGCTGTCCTTTTCTAGCTGTGACGGTAACGTCAAGAAAGTTTATGGTTGTTGAGTAATTATGAGAGATAGTAATTGTGGGGTGGGCATTGTTGAAGTTCTTAATGAATCAATGTAGTGGAGCGCAAAAAGTACACAAACAAGCGAGAGGACGAAGACACAGCCCCCTCGTCCTTGTATGCTCGTTTGTTTATTGTCTGCTTTTTGCACTTTACTACACTATATTGACTTCTTCCAACTCGCCCAACAAGCAACGTTGCTTCTTAATGAAACATTAAAACCTTTATCGCTATGTGCCCAAATCACGAAAATGCCATCGATGAAACGCTTATAAAAGAAAGGATTCAGAGTTGAATTCTCAATGAAGTTAGCTTCCAAAATGCTCATATATAATTGCATAGTTGGGACCTACTCTAGTGCCCATAGATGTCCCGTTTGTCTGAACATATATCGGGAGTTATCCAATTCGAAGTTGTTTTTTTTTTTCTAAGATGAGCTTCATGATGGTACCAATGGTTTCACCATCAACTGGCTTGTCAAAACTGAAATCCTCGTAAGCTTTTATGTGAGCGAAAATGCCATCGTTGTGTGGAATGTTTGTGTACAACAAAAAGACATCAAGTGTAACCGAAATACTACCGTCTGAAGCACCTACATCTAAAATGTATTTCAAGAAGTGATTTGTACCCTCTATAAATGACTAGAAAGTAGGTGGAATCCTGTTTACGAGACTACCGACAAACCTGGATAGATTTTCAGTAAAGGTTCATATGCAAAAGATGATGGGGCGTCCGAGATTATTCACTTTGTGCATCTCGGGCAGGAGATAAAATCTACCTGCCACTGGGCTGAATGGAACGAGTGGACAGGCTGTCACTTTATCGATCTTTTCGTTCTTTACAAATGTTAGTACGTTCCACAAATCGACCTTGTAGTCGTTTGTAGGATCGCCACAGAGGTCCGTAAAAGTTACGATCGGACAGCATGCCTCTCACGTTCACTTATACAGGGTGTTTCAAGAAATGTGTCAAAAGTCTTTAAAAATCGCAGAAAGTAGGTATCTGCGTGATATTTGTGGCGTTGCCTTTCCTGTGGAGAAGGCATCATCAGATGCGCTCAAACATTAATTAAGGTAGTACTTATAGAAATAACACAATCAACTTTTTAACCATTGGAGATTGCCGGTCGAGTCAAATGGGCAAATTCAAGCCCTTCCTAAGAATATTCCATAGCCACTTTGAAGTTTTGGAAAAGCGGCTGCTGGTAATCACCGCGGAGCGATGCAATGAGCCTAATTTAGCTGGCGAAGCCTAAACCAACGCACGAAACAGCGCATCTACCGTTCACCTCGACAACACCCTCAGTGACGTCCCTTCTTCCCTCACTGTTATGAACCGGCAATTTCGACACTTCACTTCGAGGCCGCTTATTGACGCTCGCCTAATTCTCCCCCAATCCGAGGGAAACAGTGTCGTCATTGATGGCGTTGTAGAAGTGAATATTAGATGTGCAGTTTGGGGCGCGCGTTTTGGTTTCGCCAGCTAAATTGGCTATAATTCGTCACTCCACGGTGATTATACAATGTCCGCTTATCCAAAATATCAAAATGGCTATGGACTCGTAGGAAGGGCTTAAATTAGCCTGTTTCACTCGCCTGGCTATTACCACTGGCCAAAAAGTTAATTGTGTTAATTTCTATAATTACTGCCGTAATTATTGTTTGTACCCATCTGAAGATCCATACTGCTACAGGAAGGCAGCGCCGCAAGTAACACGCAGATACTTCTTTTTCGTAATTAAAAAAGATATTGGACCCATTTCTTAAAACACCCCGTATAGTCATATATACTAAGAATGACAATAGCACCACCTTTGTCTGCCGGCTTAATTATGATTTCAGGGTTATTTCTAGCGCTTCGAGTGCCCTTTTTTGTTCATAGGTTATGCCAATGGGGAGCGCGAGTTTTGTAAGATACTATGACGTCTTGTTATACAGCCCTGATATATAGGTCTAAGAACCGATCACGTTGTGGCGGTGGGGTTTAGTGCTTCTGCTGAGGGAGTACCAGCCCGCTTTGACGGTCACTATAATGACCGTAGAAATATCCTTTAAGGCGCATGTATCGGGCGGAGTTGTGAATGTCCTTAATAAGTTGAAATTGATTGAACCCACCGTTTGCCTGACAAAAACTAAGGCCCTTCGATGAACAAGATACCTGCGCGTCGGAAACCATTTCCGAAGAAAGATTTATAACATTGTCATGCAGTGCTCGTTTTCCTTTATCGGCTCAATCAGCTCTAACGGCTTGACGAAGGGAGCAAGTTAGCACGCATGTACTTTTTTGCTTGATTGCATTTAGTTTTGCAAACTTAATTTTCTGGTAAGCTACCAAGTGATCAGATTCGAGTAGCGTTATCTGCGATAGCAGAAGCGCTTCTTTCTGAAACAGTTGTTTAGCGCGTGATTTTTTGTGGTCTATAACAATAGGCGTCAAATTTAGCGAAGCACTTTGTAAATCTTGTTGCCATCTCGCCTTGTGGTGAGCGGATAGCTCGGAAGTAGCTGCATTTAGTCGCATTTGTAACCCTTTGGGCAATTTGGACGAAGTTAGATAAGTGGTGAACGTTGATGCATAAAGCTCAGCGTGAATGCTTTTGTCAGCTAGTTTTCTAGCATGTGAAAATGTATCGGGATATGTACAGGATGCAGCTTTACCAGTGAAAGGTCCAGGAAGTCACTTGAACACTGTGTCCTGGTTTTGACAAAAAAAAAAAAAAGCTCAGGCGTTTTTTTTGTAGAAATTGTGAGTAGAAATCCTTAAAACGCGCCGACTACAAGTGGGGAGTTTTCGACCATCGCCACACGAAGCGTGAAGAAACTACGGACTTTCTCTTCGTGGAAGAGTATTGTCGCAGGCGGATTGCTGGCACCTACGCCTTCCCGTGCCCAAAATGCAGACTGCCCAAAGGGAAAGCGCACGAGTTGGTTTACTCCCTATAGGAAGTGTACCACGTGCTGATTGTGACGCTTCGTTCATGGGGGAAGCAAACAACTTCCCCGAGTGGTCACGGACACCAGCGGCAGCGGCGGACAACTACAGTGCCAGAATCTGCCCTTGTTGTAATCTCACGAGAGACTTCGTTGTAAGGAGCCAACTGTTGTCAAACGGGTGGTGCAGTCCATCGGCCGACTTTGGGTCAATCCCCTCAATAATCAGGTGATGGAGTGGTGGGGTGGATGGGAAACGCTGGGCACTCTCTGATAGCTTTGTACAAGCAAGAAGAGCTCAAAGAAGAGCCGAGCTGTAGTTCATCGCGAAAAGGACGTGCTATAAATGTTAGAACTGACGAAAACTGACGATTCTAAGCTGACGAAAAGAACTGACCAGCGTCTCCGCCTTCATCCTGCGACTCGTCTTGGCTGTCTCGACGCCCTGTCTGCTGCAACTGCTTCTTCTTCCAGATTAGGATGGGGTCGGGATCATAGCCCCGCTGCCGCAGTGTCTCCAACATCTCTTTGCGGCGGCGGTTCTCAATCTTGATGATGTTGCCGATTTTCTCGAGAATGAAGCGTGCCTGGTTTTCGAGGCGCTTCGCTTCAGCCGACAACAGACCGATGAGGTAGGCCTTTCGATTGACATACCTGCAAAAATTAGATACAAAATCAAATAATGTTTCCAGTGAAAGACGTTCGATCGCTGTGCTACCCAAAGTGGCAGAAAATCACGGAAATAGCAGAAAAAAATCATAATGAAACTAAACCAGATCAAAAAGGCAATCTTACTACTTCATTTTAATGCGTGACGCGCCGTGTTTTCTTTAGCGGAGGCAACTTGAAATTCGAAAGTTTAGTTGCGCGGTTACCACTCGCTCACAAACCCCCGCAACCAACGTAATAAAACTCACGCTTGCAGGCGCGTATCGAAGAAGTCGCGCAGAATGTCCTCGGGGGTACGAAACGTCCTCAGGACGCCCTTGGAGTCGAACAGAACCATAGAGGACGTCGTGAGCGTAGTCTGCAGCTTGAACGCCTTGTGCAGTCCTTCTTCGCGGGCTTTGGCCAGCTTCTCTTCGGCCATGGTAACCACGAAGCGAACGGTGGTGTCTGTGTGGTACTCCTTGTAGTCGGATATGAGCGGCGGCACTTTCTCTGTGCCATGCAGCATGGTCTCCAGCACCGTCTCCTTGTACGTCTGAGTCCACACCCGGACCGGAAGCTCCGTGATCTCAATGCTGGTGGAGTTGAGCACGGCCACCTCGCCGCTCACGATGAACCTCTGCTCTTCGACCTGAGTGCCAGCAGCACAGACACAGAACAATCAAATGAATCGAAGGGGCCCTGCAACACTTTTCCAGGTTTTAATAGAATGGCTTCATTCAAAGAGTTCATTGTCTCACAAATGCACCGCTGAAAAAATGCTTGGAAGCCGTCGAGTACAACCAGAGTTGGGAATTTGTCGCTTTCTTCTCGTCCCAACGAGCGTGCTGGAAGCTAATCAAGAAGGGATTGCAAAGCGGAAGTAAGTTACGTCACAAGATGTAGATCCTACAGTTCTGGCTCACACCCAACCTTAGATATCGGTGAAGAATTGGGTAGCTTAGAAAAAAAATATATCTAATTCCTACAAAAGATTACAATACTTCGTTTTGTAACCACAAAATAATTTATAATCATTCTTGAGACAAAATAGGTTACACAAATAATTCACACTGGAATGGAAATAAATTAATATATAAGGAAATTCGCTGTAGCCTACACTGCTTAAGGACCATGGTAACTGAATTTATTGTATGAATCTGTCTAATGAAATCTAGCACGGCCTCGGATACTTTCCTGTTGCTGTGACCTAGGGTAAGTGTACCAATGGATAGTAAGTTTGAAGTTAAATCTGATTTAATGATGTTTAACGGCGTTTTAGATATATTTCTTAATGCAGAAATCTTTCTTGGCAAGAGATCAGAAAGTGTTTTATTGTTGCCTCTTCTCCACAAGAAAAAACATAGCAGAGAGTGTGTCAGGTCGGATTTGCATATAAAAAATTTAATGGTGGAACACGACAACGTAACCTAGTGATTGTCACTTCAAGACCTCTGTCATGACATTATGTTTTCCACAGTGCCAATAGATCATTAAAATACGGGGAATTTCTTCGAGATAGTGTAGAGAATTCCGACAGCATTATTTGCCTCCGAAATCTCGCCGCTACTATAAAAGCTGGTGTAGGAGTAAGAATAGCTGATCCGTCTTACACAGATTTCGTTGCGCATCAGCTGTTTCATTTACAATCAAGCCTTTGTGCCCAGGTACCCACATTAATTGAACATTAGGTAAGCGATTCGGTACTAGGGAATTGAACTCTTTCAATGCTTTCAAATCACTGGAGGACGTGAGCGCACAGCCCACTGATGAAGAGTGTTTTTATTACGGCGGAATTTCTTGATGTGGTCAATTTACGAAAGGCTATTACCACAACTAAAAATTCTGTAATAATATGGGTGCAAAATCTGGAATGTGGAGCTGCCTTTCAAGCTCCACTATGATCGAATTCGTAACAGTCAATGTCCGATCAGAAAAGGACCCTTCAAATTTTTAATATGCTTCACCTTATTACACTCCTATTGCGGTACAGCTGCTTTTCATGCTTCACGACACACGCCAATGTATTGAGAAAAAAACACTTAGTCCAATATGATTGATTGATTTGTGGGGTTGAACGTCCCAAATCCACCATATGATTATGAGAGACGCCGTAGTGGAGGGCTCCGGAAATTTCGACCACCTGCAGTTCTTTAATGTGCACCCAAATCTGAGCACACGGGCCTACAACATTTCCGTCTCCATTGGAAATGCAGCCGCAGGAAATGCAGTGCTAAAAAAGTGTGGCACAATCCCTACTTAGAGACAGAGCATCAGCCTCGCATGCAAGAGGTCCGTGGCTTGAATCCCGGTGCTGTACAATTCCCACCCGGATCGAAAAAACTCCTCAAGATGGAATCGCATGTTTAAAAAAGGGCCTGGGGTGTGGCCTCACTGGCAACCACAGCAATTAACGCACTCCCTCGCCACAGCAGGATTGGTCACCCTGGTGCAGTACTTCGCCCCTACCTCCCTTATGAAAGTACCCATTAACCCTTGGCTGTCAGTCACCAGTGGCTGCGAAGCAACTGACAAAGGTGGCGGTCAGACCTGCACCGCAGTGGAGGGTGCTAAGCATCTCTGGGTCCGGAAAGGCGGTCATTGGAATCTAAACTTGGCTACGTTGAACGCTAGAACGTAATTTATTTAGGAGAGCCTAGCTGCGAGTACATGGGCCTACAACATTTCCGCCTCCATCCGAAATGCAGCCGCCGCAGCCGGGATTTGAACCCGCGACCTGCGGGTCAGCAGCCGAGTACCTTAGCCACTAGACCACCGCGGTGGGGCAAGGGCAACAAAGAAGTAATATAGCATTAGTGAGAGCATATAAAGTATCTTAATTAAGCTAATAAGAGGCACTGCAAAATCAGAATATCGAGGAAGCCTAAACTAGCATGCCAGAAGAAATCTAGAGCAGGTCCACAGCCACCACAGTCCATCAAAAAGGGACAAAAACCCAATACATGATCTCCGTAATGCTATTCACCACGTGGTTACAGGAGATTTTCAGGACCCTAGATTGCGAACGTATAAAAGTTAATTGAGATTATTTTAATAACTTGCCATTGGCAGATGACATTGCATTTATGAGTATAACTCAGGGGACGCATTGCAGCTCACGATTACTGAACTGGACACAGAAATCAGAAGAGCAGATCTGAAAATAATATGCATAAAACTAAAGTAATGTGCAACAGTCTCGGCAGAGAACAGCGTTTAGCGATAGGTGGCGAGACAGTGAAGGTTGTAAATGAATATGTCTACTTAGGACAGATAGTAACTGTGGAGCCGAACCATGAAAGTAAAATAACTAGAATAATAAGGATGGCGTGGAGCGCTATTTCTCAAGAAGAAAGAATGTAACAGCTGCATATTGCCGGCACGTACCTATGGAGCAGAGATCTGGAGGCTTACAAGAAAGGGTTCAGCTTAAATTGAGGACGACACATCGAGCGATGAAAAGTAAAATGAGAAGTGTAAACTTAACAGACAGAAACATAGCAGTGTGTATCAAGCAACAAACGGTGATTAAGGACATCATAGTTGGAATCCAGAAGAAATGGACATGGGCCGGGCACGCAGCGCGTACGCAGAATAACTGCTTGACATTAAAGATAACTGATGGGATTCCACGAAAAGTCACACGCGTGAGACGGGAAATTAGGTGGGCAGATGAGAATAAGAAGTTGGCAGGTATAACGTGGCAGCAGAAAGCACCAGACCGGATTGATTGGCGAAACATAGGAGACGCATTTGCCCAGCAGTAAACGCGTAGTCAGGCTGATATTATACACTACGAAGTAGAAGACATGCATTTTGAGAAAAATATTTCCAACGTAACATATATTCACTTGTACATGTTCAAAATACTCTGATCATTTCAATATGTCGGGCAAACTGAGACCACTCTCAGTGAGGTTTACTAATCGTAAGTCGCATGCCCCAAGCCTACCCAATTTACCTCTATTCAGGCCCGTTAATATTCCTGGTCACTATTCCGATGAATTAACAGCTACTATACTAAAATCCGGTTCGCGAGTCATTCCTCATACAGAAGTTCAGCACTGTCTCATCTGGTATAAAGAAAATTTAACTAAGCTGGCGTTTCTTTCAGCACAGAACTAAATCATAGCAGCATATCACAGTCTACTCATAGTTGCTGTTTACGCAGATTTCGGCTACACGTTTTCATTCGATCGTTCTTCTTTGCGTTTTTTTTGGTGCTGGATCTTCGTACCCCTTCAAGTTAACGCATCCTGTGTAACTTAATCAGACATTTGGCTTCTTTGTTTGCCGTATTTGTTTGTTGAAATTATTTTCTTTCTTTGTCTATCTTAGTTTTTCAACTGTATGCTATTCCCGTGGTGTTGCACGAATACGCCAGTGATGTCTTTACGCACCTTTCTTGTGCCTATGCTCCTGTCACTGCATTACTATAGTAACTTACTGCAGTGAATATTGTGCGATACTCACAGATCACGTATTAGGGTCCCTTTATATTCCGTGTCTACATAATAAAAGTGCATTTCAGTATCGTGTTTTTCCTGATGACGGCTGCTCTGCGGCTGAAACGATGCAAAAATAAACAGCTTTGGTTTTTCACGTCCTCTACTTCACGTTGTTGGTTCTAGTGGATGAAAAGAGTAATATATATATATATATATATATCTGTGTATATGCGCATGCGTGTGTATGTATGTGTATGATGTAAGTATGTGTGTGCGCGCGTTTGTGTGTGCGTTTGTGTGTGACAGTGTTAAAGCAAGCCGCCTCACCTGGTCTATGGATCCACGAAAGTTTTTGAACCATGGCTTAAGTGTATTTGGCTCATCACCGGAGATCATCCTCCGCAGATTGGCAACTATATCACGAGGATTGTGGTTGGGTATCTTTGTGCTCCAGCCGGTGCCGATTCCCTCTGCACCATTCACTAGAACCATGGGGAGCACCGGGATGTAGTACTCCGGCTCTATGCGCTGGTTATCATCGTACAAGTACTCCAAGACTGGATCGTCCAAAGTGGGAACGATGAGACGCGCCAGGGGTGATAGCATGGTGAAGATATATCGAGGGCTGGCCGCGTCCTTGCCACCCTGCAGCCTTGTGCCAAACTGACCAATTGGCTGCAGCAGGTTGATATTGTTGGAGCCGACAAAATTCTGCGCCAAGTTGATGATGGTCGACATTAGGGAGGCCTCGCCGTGATGATACGCAGAATGCTCGGCCACGGACCCTGCCAGCTGGGCGACCTTAATTTCGCGCTTGTCGTTGCGCTTAAAACAAGTGAAGAGAACCTTGCGCTGTCCCGGCTTCAGCCCGTCCACCAGGGACGGGATCGAACGCTCATTATCCATATTGCTGAACAAGATGAGCTCCTTGTTGACGAAATCAAGGTACGTCACGTTCCTCGTGTCTTTGCCGTACAGGTAGAGCTCGGGCAGGCCCATCTCGCGACGCTGCTTGCGCTCCTCCATGCCACTGCGGAGCCAGCCTTTGCGCTGTTCGATCATCTTCTTGCTGAAGGCCAGCTCTATGGCGTGGTCATCTTCGTTGCCTTGGTACCGGAACGTGATTCGGTGCCGCAACATGTCAGTGAAATACTCCTTGGCCTCCTTGGAGGTGCTAGTGCCGAGACCTTTGTAGTACTTGACCTTCCAGCGCTGCCAGTCGTCGGTGGTGGTCTTCCATTCTTCGAACTCGGGCAGCGAGTAGAAAGACAGCTCGTTGCTACCGCGACTCGCCTTCACGATGGGTGTGATGAACTCCTCGAGGAACGGAAGCTTGAGAAGCGACGGCCAGTTGTGGTGGATGAAGTTGATGAGAAGGCAATTGATGTGTGAGTCGTCTTGGTCTTGATCTGTCATGATCATAAGGTGACCGTACCGAACAGTCTTCAGGTCGTCCATTGTCTCGTACTTTTTCTTGTACTGCAGATCAGAAAATAGTGATGTGTCGATTTTTTTTCATTCATTGTATTTTGTAATGCTAGTACTTGTATCATGTAGTGTTACCCAAGCTGACTATTTACAAAGCACTTGCAGAATAAGGTTAAAGCAAATAATCGCGTTTGGTATGAAACAAAAAGAAACACTAACCCTAAACGAGACATATACTTATTCAGAAATCTACTTCGCCTTGTAATATATCCCTTCCAAAGTAGCTTCAAAAAGAGGGTGAAGCTCGCACGCCTTTGCAGGCATGCAACTGACATGACGTAGTTTACAAAACAGCTTTTATTAACACTCCTGGAAGATCATGATTAAGGATGTCTTACTACACAATACAAGCCGTAATGAACGCTTTAGCCATTGCCATTACCTATCTCAGGAAGAGGGTTTCAGCCCATAAGAAATGCGTAAAGTGGAGCATCTGGACATGCTCCACTCGTGTCGAACATGCTGCGCGTTTTCCAATAAGGTGAAACTTTTGCTGCTTAAGTGTACCTCTAGTTCAAAAATAGCACGTTAAGTCAACCGTCTAGTGAAGCTCTGAGCATTTATGTGGGCGGCTTTAGCGCATTGTTTCACGATTTCAAGTCATCTTTGATAGTGAAAGAAACCGATTAAAGAAGTAAGCTCGGGTAATTTTCGTTGTCCATACCACTGTATGTTAGTCGTTGAAGGCAAAATTACTGACCTGGAGGCCCATGATCTTGATAACATTGTTGATCTCGGCATTTTCCAAGATCTGCTTGTGGGTGGCCTCCCGCACATTCAGCATCTTTCCCTTCAGCGGAAACACGCCGAACTTGTCGCGGCCCACCACTGACAGGCCCGACACGGCCAGGCTTTTGGCCGAGTCTCCCTCGGTCAGGATGAGCGTGCAGTCAACCGAGTTCTTGGTGCCAGCGTCGTTGGCGTCCTCCAGCTTTGGAATGCCCTTCAGCTTGGAGTGTTTCTTGGACGAACACTTCTGGCCTAGCTGTTTCTCGGCCTTGAATGTTACCCATCTCATAACGGACTCCACGACGCCGAATTTGAGCATCTGCAGAGTGAAACGAGGTACGCTTAAGGCAACGCCCATTACGTCGACAAAAAAACAATAATTTGTTAAACAATATAGCGATGTGAAAAATGATTGATTGATATGTGGGGTTTAACGTCCCAAAACCACCATATGATTACGAGAGACGCCGTAGTGGAGGTCTCCGGAAATTTCGACCACCTGGGGTTCTTTAACGTGCACCCAAATGCCACGTGAAAATCAATCAGGCCGGAGTAGTGTTGTGAGAACAATAAGTGAAGTCGAGAAGGAAAATATTTAGCTCATTCTTCGTGCTCTGTGTCGATTACACTTGGTTCTGTTGGTATTCTTTATCATACACTTGATTACTGGATTACTGAACTACATTTTATAGAACTTCTGAAGTGATAGGACCACGCTGCAAAAACGTACCGCACAGTTGCATTAAAAATTTGTAAGCGCGTTTTCGCGCCTTCGCATTTTCCTCAGACAACCTTAAAGAGAAGGTTAGATAGATAGATTTGTGGGGTTTAACGTCCCAAAACCACCATATGATTATGAGAGACGCCGTAGTGGAGGGCTCCGGAAATTTTGACCACCTGGGGTTCTTTAACGTGCACCCCAAATCTGAGTACACGGGCCTACAACATTTCCGCCTCCATCAGAAATGCAGCCGCCGCAGCCGGCATTTGAACCCGCGACCTGCGGGTCAGCAGCCGAGTACCTTAGCCACTAGACCACCGCGGCGGGGCTTAAAGAAAAGGTTGGCTCACGGGGATACACAAACGCGTGCGACGCATCAAAACGGCTGCGGGTAATCTCGTCGAATAGTGACACACGCTACATGTAGGCGATCAAGCACAATGGTCTTCAGATCAAGTTCAGGATATGTTTTATTGCACGCCTAATACACTGTCGTACTGCTCAAGTTTCCGGCCAAACGTTGCTCAATGAAGCTCTGAAATGTGTCGATGTATCATAAACTGCAATATTACCCCGTCAATATTTTTCACTAAGACAACTAAACATATATATTCATAGTGCTATATGCATAATGCTAGAGTAAAAAAGGTGGCTTTTCAAAGCTGACTGATCTATCCCAAACGACCATCAATATTCTGCTCTGCTCAGTGCATCGTGACTTTCACTGCTTGTCAACACTGCTACTTTTGAGCTGCATGCACGTATCCGGCTGATGAAGAATAAATGATTAACAAACCTGGCTATAGAACTTGTCGCTGAGCTCGCACTTCGAACCAAACTTCTTCGCAGGCAGCGTCATGTTCTCCTTGGTCTGGGAATTGAATGTTGGATTTTCAATTAGACAATTGACGAACATCCACAAGTAGTCCTTGACTTGCTTGCTTTGTATCTTCACACCTGCTTTGTTTTCCTTCTTGACATTTTCCAAAACCTGCGATACATCAAGTATAATTAGGGCCCGTGATGTAAACATTATTAGCAACCATGTGAGTCTTTCATAAAGGAAATAAAGCGTCACTACAGTCAAAGAAAGAAACCAGAGGTATGTACTAATGGACAAGTAAATACCAATATGAATAGTGTAGTGAAAAAGAAAGACGTTGATACAAGAAAAAGGCACGAGATCGGCGATCAAGCACCGTCATCTGGGTCCGCCTGCGTTCCTTTAGAGCTACCACCCGCTTGCTCAGTCCTTCAATAAACCCCCTTTACATTTGGTGGATCGTGCTGGATAACTACATCACCTACACCCTGGAACTCCGATCCCGCACCCCGCCGTCGACCATGCAAGTTGACGCTGCCCAACAGACAGCACCTCTCGCGGCCGCTACTTGCCCCGGCCCAGTTCACCAGCGAGACACCCCGATCTTTTCGGGTGCCGAAGACCAGGACGTCGAGGACTGGCTGTCGTCCTACGAAAAAGTCAGTGGACCAAACAGGTGGGATGACGCTGCTAAGTTGAGCACCGTCAACTTTTATTTGGCTAATGTGGCAAAACTGTGGTGCACAAACCACGAATCCGAGTTTGAAAACTGGGCCACTTTCAAGCAGGCAATATCCTTGGTTTTCGATCGCCCTGCCGTGCGGAAGTTGCGCGCCGAACAATGCCTGCGCTCACGGGCACAATAACCTGGCGAAACGTTTACCGCCTATATCGAAGATATACTCGATCTCTGCAGGCGCGTCGATGACGCAATGAGCGAAAGTGCCAAGATCCAGCACATTATGAAAGGTGTTGATGACGACGTATTTCAAATGCTCCTTGCGAAGCCTCCTGGCACGGTGTCTGAAGTGGTAACTCTGTGCCAGAACTACGACGAATTGCGACGGCAACGAGCTTCAACCGTCGTCCATTTCAGCCTAACCCACCACTCGCTGCACTGGACGACGTACCCGACCACTCCCGCCTTCTAGCACAAATGAAAGACTGTGCGTGAGGAGGTCGCACGTCAGCTTTCTCTCCTGCCGTTTTGTCAGCGCCAAGAGCTCCCGCAGCACCAACAAGAGCAACCACCGACACCGTTAGCTCCCATGCTCCGACATGCACTTCAGGACCAGATATCCGAGGCTATGCCAGTACCCTTTCAGCAGCAAGTTGTCGCCGCGCCTCTTACTTATGCTGACGCAGTAAAGAGGCAGCAGCCACACCAGCCCTCGCCGTTCAATGGACTGCCGCCAGTCACCGCTCCTACTCAGTCTTCCGTCGCATGGGCTCCTCCCCTCGCTACCACAGCCTCGACTCAGCCGTATGCCGCGTGGGCGGCGCTCCTCACTGCAAATTCCTGGCGAACGCGCGATAACCGGCCGATCTGTTTTGCGTGTGGCGGCCCTGGCCACATCTCCCGATACTGCCGTCGTCGCGTGCCCGCCTACACAGACGTCCGACCACGAAGCAACTACATGGACCGACCCCCTTTTGGTTATGAAAGTTCGGATCGTCAGTCAAAAACGTCTTCCCGTGACTATCCGGCAACTTCGTCTCGTCGCTCACCTTCACCCAATCGACGCTCCTTGTCACCCATGCGTCCACGACCACCCCTCAAAATGAGGGAAACTAGCCGTCGCAGTTCAAGGGGCAAGAACTGCGCTATCAAAATGTTCAAGTCCTCACACCTTGCCGTCAAATATCGTCGAAGTTTTTGTAGATGGCGCCCATGCATAGGCTCTTGTGGATACCGGTGCCACTGTGTCTGTTACAGACGCCAAACTTTGCCGCAAGCTCCGAAAGGTGACCACACCACTTGATATGATGTCCTTACGTGCAGCAAATGGAGAACCTGTTTGACCTATAGCCGCCTGCACTGCCCGACTCACAATTGCGGAGGACCACTACATTGTTGAGTTTATTGTCTTTTCCCCGTGCTCTCGTGACATCATACTTGGCTGGGATTTCCTATCGCGTAATCGTGCCGTTATAGATTGTGCCCGTTCCGAACATGAACTTCTTCCGTTGTTCGACCAGCCCTACGACCACACTAATCAAGCCGCGCACAAGCTATTTGTCAAAGAGGACACTGACATTCCACCGACAACAGCTGTTTTGCTCCCTGTGGTCTCCGACGGCATGCGTGATTAAGTAGCAATTTTTGAGCCATCAAGCCTCTTTCTAAGTCGGAAACCACTTCTGCTCCCTTATTCAGCCCTCTCAATTTCTAATGGAGCCAGTGCTCTCTGCCTTACCAATCCCTTTCCGCATACCATCAAACTGTTTAAAGGCGAGTCTCTTGGATGCGTACAGCCCATTGATAACGGACAAATTTTTACCGTGCCGCACGAATCATCCCAAAGTGACCTCGCCGCCGTTAGTGCTCTTAACCACTCTGATCTACAGGCTTCGAAAGTGTTCGATTCGGCGATCGCAGACGGACTGTCACTATCTGAACGATCTGAACTACTCCAACTGCTGTACCAGTACCGCGAATCTTTCGATGTTGTTCAGCCTTCACTTGGCCGCACTTCTACCACTCTACATTACATCGATACCGGCTCCCATGCGCCACTACGACAGCGACCATATCGTGTGTCTGCGGCGGAACGCCAAGTTATTACAGAACAGGTGAACGATATGCTGCAACGCGGCGTCATTCAACTTTCACAAAGTCCATGGGCCTCACCTGTAGTGCTCGTTAAAAAAAGGATGGTTCCGTTTGCTGCTGCGTGAATTACCGGCGCCTAAATAAGATCACTCGAAAAGACGTGTATCCTTTACCCAGGATTGACGATGCCCTAGATACTTTGAAAGGTGCCGAGTTTTTTTCATCATTAGATTTGCGCTCAGGGTACTGGCAGGTCCCCCTTGCAGATGCCGATCGACCAAAAACAGCCTTTGTAACACCGGACGGTCTGTATGAGTTTAATGTCATGCCATTCGGCCTCTGCAATGCGCCTGCAACCTTCGAGCGCATGATGGACTCGGTTCTTCGGGGTTTGAAATGGCGAATCTGTCTCTGCTATCTTGACGATATTGTCGTCTTTGCGCCAGACTTTGGAACACATCTCGAGTGCCTTAAACACGTCCTCACGTGCCTGAAGAGTGCTCAGCGCCGTCTTTTCTTTCTGTTCTACTCCTTCCCTGTCCTGTATTTTTTCTGGTGTTGCGCTGTAAGAAAGTTCACGATGCTCATCTCCAACTTAATTTCAAGAAGTGTCACTTCGATGCTCGGCAACTTACGATTCTCGGGCACGTCGTATCAAAGGACGGTATACTTCCAGTCCCGGCTAAGTTACGTGCTGTCACCGACTTCCCCAAACCAACGACTATGAAGCAGTTACGGAGCTTTTTGGGGTTATGCTCCTACTTTCGCCGGTTCGTGCGCAACTTCGCCTCTATCATTGCGCCTTTGACCGAACTTATAGGCAGCACCACTGATATTTCATCATGGTCTTCTGAGTGTGACCAAGCCTTCTGTGCCCTTCGTCGTCTCCTCACTTCGCCGCCAATACTGCGCCACTACGATCCTATGGCAGCAACTGAGGTCCACACCGACGCCAGTGGTGTCGGCCTCGGTGCGGTTCTCGCACAACGCAAGCCTGGATTCGCCGAGTATGTCGTCGCCTACGCCAGCAGAACACTCACAAAGGCTGAATCAAACTACAGCGTCACCGAGAAGGAATGCTTGGCGATCGTTTGGGCGCTTGTCAAGTTCCGCCCATACCTTTATGGCCGTGCTTTTGATGTAGTAACAGACCACCACGCATTATGCTGGTTATCTTCGCTTAGGGACCTATCGGGTTGTCTTTCCCGTTGGGCTCTTCGGCTTCAAGAATATGACATTCACGCTGTATATCGTTCCGGCCACAAGCATACCGATGCTGATGCGCTGTCACGACCTCCCCCATCCCCGGACATTGCAACCGTTTCCTCGGACAACACGTTGTCAGCTCTTGACGAGGACACCATCTCTTCTGCACAACGCCATGACCCATGGATCGCTTCGCTTCTTGACGCGTTATCCGAGGCACCGACACTTCCAACCACTCGAACCCTTCGCTGCCAGGCTCCGCACTTCAGTATTCGGGATGGCCTTTTGTACCGGCGCAACTATTCAGCAGATTGTAGGAAATGGCTACTAGTCATTCCCCAAACGCTGTACTCTAACATCTGCGCGTCGTTTCATTCCGACCCACAATGTGCTCACGACGGTGTTTTTAAGACCTACGAGCGCCCACAAAAAAGGTATTACTGGCGCGGAATTTTCACCTTCGTCCGCCAGTTCATTCGCGGCTGCCACGAATGTCAGCGGCGGAAAAGCCCGCCACATCCTGCAACAGGTTCATTGCAGCCACTTCAATGCCCAGACCGCCCATTCGACCGTGTAGGAATTGACCTCTACGGACCACTACCATTAACAACGGCAGGCAACCGATGGGCTATCGTGGCAGTGGACCATCTAACACGGTACGCTGAACTGCTGCTCTCCCCACAGCTGCAGCACAAGACGTCGCAACTTTCATACTCAATCGTTTTCTGCTTCGTCATGGTCCTCCTCGAGAACTCCTGAGTGACCGAGAGTGTGTTTTCCTCTCCGATGTAATACAAGCACTTCTTCAACAGTGCCATATTGTTCACCGGAAGAGTACAGCTTACCACCCACAGACAAACGGCTTGACTGAGCGCTTCAATCGTACTCTGGGGGACATGCTCGCTACGCATGTCGCTTCTGATCAAACAAACTGGGACCTCATTCCCCCATTTGTGACATGCGCGTATAACACCGCTACGCAAGTCACTACCGGGTTTTCCCCATTTTTCTCCTGTACGGTCGCCAACCATCGCACACCATCGACACTTTACTGCCATACTCGCCAGATCCCTCCGAATGCAAGCCTGTCTCGGAAGCCGCTCGTTACGCAGAAGAGTGCCGCAAGCTAGCCAAGCGGCTTACTACATCCGACCAACAGCGCCAGAAGGAGACCCGTGACGACGACCATCGTTCTGCACCAACGTTCGTTCCTGGAGCACTTGTATGGCTACATGTACCGCCCTGCGCCCCTATTGTATCACCCAAGCTACTCTCTAATTATAATGGTCCCTACCGCATGGTCGAGCGTACTTCACCCGTGAACTACGCCATTGAACCCCTCACGCCACCGAGCGACGGTCGTCGGCGTGGACGTGATATCGTTCACGTAAACCGACTGAAGCCCTACTTTGACCCGCTTGTCCCCACGTGTTAGATTGCCAGGATGGCTTCAACTTTTTCGCCGGGGGTAATTGTAGTGAATAAGAAAGACGTTGATACCATCATGTCAGCTATCATCAGCACAAGAAAAAGGCACGAGATCGGCGATCAAGCCCCGTCATCTGGGTCCGCCTGCGTTCCTTTAGAGCTACCACCCGCTTGCTCAGTCCTTCAATAAACCCCCTTTACAATAGGTTAGTCAAAGGAGCGGAGGAGTTTTGTAGAGATCTGTACAGTAGCCGGGAGAACCATGACCATGATGTAAAAAGTAGCAGTAACCCTGACGACATCCCACCAGTTTTGACAGAAGTGAGAAAAGCCTTGGAGGGAATGCACAGAAGCAAAGCTGCCGGTGAGGATCGGGTTCGAGTAACATCAGATCTGCTGAAAGACGGAGGAGAGATTGCGTTAGAAAAACTATATAGCCACTCTGTTTACGAAGTGTCTTCTGACAGGAGGAGTACCAGAATCTTCGAAGAATGCTATCATCATCTAAATATATAAGAAAGGAGATAACAAGGACTTCAAGAAGTACAGGCCGATCAGCTTTCTCTCCGTCGTATACAAGATATTCACAAAAGCAATTGCTAACAGAATTAAAACAACCTTGAAATTCAATCCACCAAAGGATCAAGCAGGATTTCGAACAGGCTACTCAACAATAGACTACACTCATACTTTCAATATAGAGAAATGCCCAGGATACACCAAACCACTATATATAGATTTCATAGATTACGAGAAGGCATTTGATACAGTAGAGCGATCAGCAGTCATGCAGACACTGCGGAATCGGGGCGTCTACGAAGCATATTGTTACGTGAAGGTACACGCCTCAGAGGATCAACGGAGGATCAAATGCCACCATAGTTCTTCATAAAAAAGTGACAGAATACCAATAGAGAAGGCTGTAAGGCTGCGGCATACAATCTTCCCAACGCTATATACCACGTGCTTACAGGAGGTTCTCAGAGGCATAGAATGGGAAGAGTCAAGAATAATAGTTAATGAAGATTACCTTAGTAACCTGCGCTTCGCCGAGGGCACTGCACACTGCTGAGTCTCTCAGGGACAAATGGCCATTCATTATTACGAAATTAGATAAACCGAGCAGAAAGGTGGGTCTTCAAATTATTCTGCAGAAAACGAAAGTGATGTACAACAACCTCGGAAGAGATCAGCCCTTCGATATAAGTATATATCAGAGCACTTGAAGTTGTGAAAAAATGCGCCCACTGATGATAGGTAACCGTGGAGCCGAACCACGAGAATGAAATGACTAAAAGAATAAGAATGGGGTGGAGAACATTTCGTAATCATTCTGAAATCATGACAGGTAAAATGTCATTATCCCTCAACAGGAAGGTATATAACAGGTGCACCTTGCCAGTACATACCTACGGAGCAGAAACTTGGAGGTTTACAAAGAGGGTGCAGCTTAAATTGAGGACGACGCATCGAGCGATGGAAAGGAAAATGATAAGGGTAACCTTAAGAGACAAGAAGAAAGCAGAACGGGTCAGGGAACAAACCTGGGTTAAGGATATCATAGTTGAAATCAAGAAAAAGAAATTGACATGGGCTGGGCACGTAGCACGTAGGCAGGATAACCCCTGGTCATTAAGGATAACTGACTGGATTCCCAGAGAAGGCAAGCGGGTGAGAAGGAGACAATGTTAGATGGGCAGGTGAGATTAGAAAGTTTGCGGGTATGAAGTGGCAGCAGCAAGCACAGGTCCGAGTTGACGGGCGGAACATGGGAGATGCCTTTGTCCTGCAGTGGACGTAGTCAGGCTGATGATGCTGATGACGACGACGACAGACAAAAAAAGGAACCAGGTAAGCACGTAGTCAGAATTTGCCCACCAAGCACACACCAAAATACGCGCAAGCTGGGAACGACCACACTGGAACGCAAGCGCAAACAGTATCACTGTCAGTGTTACACATACGAAGCCTAAAACGACGCGAAACAACTTATATGCACCTGCAGAGCCTCTATTTTACAATGAGCAGCTAGTCAAAAGTGGTACAGACTTGCCAATGTTCGGTACCCTTTTATACTGCAGATGTCATTGTGCTGAAAGACAAAGATGCCTGTGATACTTGCCTTTTTGACTACGTGGTCGGAGACGTAGTCAACGTGACTGCCTCCCTTGGTGGTGGCGATGCCGTTAACGAAACTCATCTGCCGGAACTCGCCCGAGGCACTCAAGGTCACGGCCACCTCCCAACGGTCGCTGACGAGCTCGTGGGCTACAACGAGCGGATTGCCCGTTTCGTCTTCCTGGTCTTTTAGGAACAGCTGCACGTACTCCCTGAAGCCCTTCACTGGCAGCCGCTTACCGTTCAGGTAGACCTGGGTGAAAAAAGCTTGTACACCATCACACAAAAAAGAAAAACTTTCGAAGTGAGCTGAAAGAATGTCCACTGACGTAACTTGCACGGAAGGTTTTACTGCCTTACAATGCATCCCCACCAGTGTGAACCTTCATCACAACTTAGTTTTAAATACTCTAAAACCTGCTTGTCGACGCCCTCCACTATAACATTTGAACACATTTTTGAGTCTTCCAGAAAACGTCGAAACTTACACTACGACTCAGATTCACCATTCGCTTGAACCAGTTTTGAGGCTGCCTTTGCAATATTGAAAAAAAAAACTCGTGAGCAATACGAGAGCGATGCAGTTTTGAAATTTAAAATAGCCAATAACATTGTCAGCAGGCTTTAAACCAAAAACAATTATGAAGGCTTTATGTAACAGAGGTTCTCAGATGGCTGACTAGCAAGAACCAGATTCACTTGGAACGAATATGTATAATGCAATCGCTAGGATAACGCCTTACCACTGACCATTCGTTTAGACCCTAAACACCTAGTGTTCTTCGTATGTCTTCGGTTGTCATGCAGGGTATTTCCAAGGCATTAAGTGTAAGTAGGGAGTTTCATTTCATACCACAACTACAAGACTGGCTGACAGCATTCGCTGTCCATTATGTAGTTTCATATTTGTCTACGCTTTATGGCGTCACTTGGTAAAACAATACTTTCCCTAGGTCATTCCATCTATTTTCACGAGCCCATTGTCAATGGCAGCTGCTGCGACTTAACTTCATTTCAATCCTTCCCTAGGCAAGGGTTTTCGTAATGGTATGACAGCTCTAAATTATCCATTCGTTGCAGCATTCACATGGTGTTAAGCTTGTTTCGGTGATACACTGATGTCACGCAATATTACATCTGTTAACGTCACATACTTGCAGTAAGGTAGAGAGATGGGAGAGTTGAAAAGTATGCATACTCGGAAAATTGGCGTGAGTAGTAAATAGGCGCAAAAAGATAAGGACACAGTGTTCGTACTGTGTCCTCGTTCGGGTCTGCCGTGTTTGTGCTGATTTTCAAAGTACGCGGCACACTTGCCTACATGACGCCCGTATTGCAGAAGCTTGAAACTCATTTGGTGTTTTTCCGAAGCAGCTTCAAGCATTGAAGTGTGAAGTGGTGGAATATTGGACTGCTACGTACATAGTAAGATATTCTGCAATAAGAAGGATTGAAGCGTGAAGTGGTAGATTATTAGACAAGGTGTTCGTTTAGGCTGGTTGGTTCATACTTGCAGTAAAATACCACCGGAGAAAATAATAGACTAGACAAGGAGAAGGACTCGTACATGCAAGAGCCTTGTGTGTGCGTGTCCTCAGCTGGTCGGTTTTCTCCGGCGCCATTTTTACTGAGAATATTTGACTGTTACGCGCTCAAATGTTCTATCACTTCACACTTCATTCATTGAAACTGCCTCAATGTTTGAAATTTCTTGGGCTCGGTTCCAGCTGGACATCTGAACTTTCAATCTTTGCATTCATGAGAATTTTTCGCTCACTGACAACGCCGGCAACATCGACACCGCATGTTCCGAGAATTACGCTTTTTAAAGTACTCGCGTTAAAATAAGAGCACCCAAAAGGCTTTCAGAATGCTGTGATGCAAGGGGCCGGCAGGTGAGTGCGAAATGTGGTGATTGATTTATTGATATGTGGGGTTTAACGTCCCAAAATGACCATATATGATTATGAGAGACGCCATAGTGGAGGGCTCCGGAAATTTCGACTACCTGGGGTTCTTGAACGTGCACTCATATCTGAGCACACGGGCCTACAGCATGTTCGCCTGTATCGAAAATGCAGCCGCCGCATCCGGGATTCAATCCCGCGACTTGCGGGTCAGCAGTCTTCAAACCAACTCGTCCAACTTTCCGCACTCTTACTGGTTTACATGAGGGCAATTACTGGTGCATCGCATCTATTTACGTGAATTCGCTGAACCAACTCATCCAGGAAAAAGTTTAAGGAAGGCGTATTGTACTAACGCGCCAGGCGGAATGAAATTCGAAGGGTAATTGAACGCACAGACCCTAAATCGAGGGGAGAGTAACGACGGCCCTTCGTCATAGTTGCTTCGAGTATGTTGAAGATCTTCCATTGCGTCCGAATTGTCAGAGTCTCTTGCCGACACTTGCCTTCCGAAGCGAAGAGGTTGGGCGATTTGGACACATGCGTGATGTTCCCGTGAAAGGGATGACGGCCAGGGTCGTACTTTCGCTTGCTGAACCGGACAGCGCCGATAACAAAAACGACAGAAGAAAGACAGTTCAACAACGAAGGACGAAACATCCTCAGCCACCTAACCCAGTTGCAACAAATTTAATGAACTTTTTCTAGCATTCAGTAATCTCACCATCATCAAATTACCGATATGAACTCCTATAGCACAGGAACTTATCTGCGAGCACACCCTCCGACACCGCGTGGCAGATAGGGGGCAGAAAACGGGGTAAGCTTGAGAGAAACAACGTCTCGCGTTCTATTGCATTCAGTAAACGTGGCTTATGAGGTGCGAAATTTGCAGCAGTAAATTTTTAAGACGCTTCGTGCACTTTTGTTGAAATATTTGGAGGGGTGAACGTGCCTAGAACGAGGAAACTAGTCTGTGAAAGAGAAATTCTGTGTGGAAAACATTAAAAAAAAAGCCAACTTCTGCGAAGTGTCAGGCTGCTCTTGATAGCCCTTCTCTAATAAGCTCTCTACTCACGGCTACAATATGTACCTGCCATGGTGAAAAGAATAGCTTGCACCCGACAGAACAGGAAAAAGTTTCGCGTTTGGCGTAGCTTCCCTGCGTCAAAGTAAACGCTTGTTCGTGAGAATTGCAGAGCTGGTATACAGAGCCACCGCAAAGCGAAAATGGACATCAGAAGCTCCTTTCCACGGAAAGCCGATACTGACGCTGCTGCGCCATGTTTGATGAAGAAGATACAACTTTCCATGCTAGACCGCGATTTTGAATCCGAAGATACTTCTAGCACCTCGACCAAACTTGAGGAGCCTCAAACATCGAGGCACCATCTCGACATCGGCTGCACCCTCAAGTCTGCTCTCGCCGGTAAGCTTCACCACAGCAAATAGTATCCAATCTGCCACAGAAAATGGTTGATCACAGCGACAGTTGGAGGGGGAAAAAAGACTATTGGAATTCAATTCATCGCTTCTTTTTTACTCTGAAGAAAAGCACTCAGCGTGGTCACCGCCTTAGCATGCCCCACTATAGTGGTCAGCTAACCGGCTACATGCATGCCTTTGTGTTAATTATTTAGTGTGCTCCTTGTTTTGGCCTTTAATGTGGTAAACCAGATTTGGGCTAGCTTCATAAAAAGCTAGCAATTTAATTTTAACATTGCGTAATAGATGGTTCTGTTCGTTCTTGTACCGAGAAGCCAGATGCCACAATCTGCACTCATGAACATTTACTCATACTAAGGAAACTGCAGTATGGACCGTATTAGTTTAAAATAAAACTTCCGTAGGAGTATGACATCCTTCATATAGGAAGGCTCATCCGTAACGATGCACAGTACTGCACCTTCATTAAACGATGAGTTAACTCAAAATATAGCAAAAATTACCGCTTGGTTCCGAAAATATGCGGACAATTTCTCATAATTTTATGTTATCCAAGAACTTTCTAATTGACTACACTTTTGTTCTAGTCGACAAAGGTTACCTTCTTTCGGTGATGTTAAAACTACCGAAAAAATTATTGATAAGCTCTAGGATCAAATTATGCCGAAGGTTCTCAAATAAGAACAACCGATCTCCGTCCAGTTTATGTTCCACACCCAAGATTGCGTCCGAAGGCAAAAATGAATGGAAGTTGTCGTGGCAGTTCTCAAAAAAGGAGCGTACAATTTTGTATCTTTTACTTGGTTGCAAGTCTGTTGACGGTCCTGTTGCTATAAATGTTGATACAGAACAGACGCAGCAGCCTTCCTGCATGAAAGAGAAAGACGATGACTGCTGGTTGCTGATGAACTGGCGCCATCTTGTTCGCCGAGCTCTGTGCATCGCACAGTTTAATAAATAAGTTACTCGTAACATTATTTGACTATCGGTTTCAACAAGGCATATCTAGCATTGAACTTTATAGTGAAGATAACATAGAAAGTGTTGATAAAATATTTTCTGCAATAAGCAGAAACTGATCTCCATTACAGCAGCTGTGCTTTTCTGTGGCATGTTCACGATTTGCCTCTGCGATGTGAACAATCACAAAGCGGGATTTTTCAGGACCTTCTCCGATTTCACGTCGACGCTGGAGACAACGCGCTGCAAGCACATCTCGACAAGAGCGCCAAAAACGCAAGGTACACATCAGCGAGCATTCAAAACGAGCTGATAAAAATCAGCGAGGACCTCCTTAAGGAGAGACATTGTGAATGCGTGCAACAAGTCCGGACAGTATTCGCTGCTGTCAGATGAATCTGCAGGCATATCAGGCACAGAACAGCTCGCTATTCATATCTGGTTTGTAAACCCAGATCTCAAGGCTGTATGAGAAGATTTTCTCGGTATGATTCTGCCAGAAATCATTGGACGCCGAAACCATTTCTGCCACAACTCTGAAGGCTGTTGACGACTTCGGCCTCAATGCTGAAAACATCGTAGTCCAAGGGTTCGCTGAATGCTCTTGAATGATGCGTACAGTCTAGAATCAAGAAAAAACACCCTCGAGTTATGTACTTTCATTGTGCTTCACATCAGCTCAACTTAGTTGTGAACAAGGCAAGCGCTGTTGCCGGTATTAGAAATGCGGTGGCATCCGTCAAAGAGACAATCAAGTTCTTCCGGGAGCACCCCCACAGAAGGAGAATGCGCCTTCGCTGCCCTTGCTGTGTAAAACTAGGTGGACCTCTAAGTATGTCTCTTTCGCCAACACTTCATTGGAGTCATAGAGGCCCTGACAACACAGTCATCGTCTGCGAACAGGCGAACGCGGGAGACTGGACATCAATTATCGTTCAGCCTATGCACCCCTTCACTTTTAGTTTGCCTCACCATTATTGCCAGATATTCTGCTCTGCTTTAACTGGTCACAAATGTGTTACAAAGCCGAAGATGGACATTTTAAAGATGCAGCAGCATATGCGGCTCTCTACTGAAACAATTGGCAAGCACAGGGCAAAATCGGAAGAAAAAATTAAGTACCATTATTCTACGACCGCAGGAGAGCACAAATCAGTATGCCGCGAATCGGTTGTGCGCCAAAATCATGGGAACTCCAGAAGAATTACTTGGTCTCTCTGCTCTCAGCGCTGGAAGAAAAAATTGTAGAGCGCGATGCTCCCACATTTGTGCTACTTTATTACATCCAAACGCGTTGAGGAAGCTCTCGAACTAAGATTTTAGGAAGCATCTCTGCGAGTCTGCTAATAAATACTTCGACTATGACAGCTTCATCTGTGAAGTGTAACTTTTGGCGTCGGTCATGGATGAAGGCAGACTTCAATAGAGGACCTGACCGATCTTCTTGCATTTGCCGAGGGGATATATCCCACCATCAGTCGGGCTCATAGAACGGCCATAACCTTTCCCTCCGACAACGTGCTGTGCCGAACGTTCTTCCAGCACGATGCAGCATGTGAAGACGTGGCTTTGTTCGGTGACGACAGACGACCGCTTGTCTGGACTCTGCATGCTCTCGCTGCATCGGGAAAATTTTTAAAAGGAAAGACGAAGCTTTCTCCGAGAAAGTTGTACAACAATTTGCTATGCGCGCGCCAAGACACAAGCCGCTCGCATTTAGAGACACTGAGTGAACGTACGGATAGGTTTCTAGCATGTACGAAACTACGGTAATTCTGCCTAGCAACATGTCATTTAACTGCATAACTGCATGTCATTTAATGCGGAAAGAATATAGAAGAGGAAACAGTTTCCCAGCAATTTCTGACTGCAAACTGCATTGTTAACCAGAAAATCTGAATTCAGGGCTGCCTGCCTCAGCAGTGGTAATATTCAGCTTTGTGCCTCGTCGTCTCATAACTTCTAAAAATTCTGATCTTGATGCCGAGGTGTTCCTACCTTTTGTGTGTGTGTGTGTCGATCTGTCTGTCCGTGTCTGTCAGCGCGCGTGCGCGTGCGTGCGTGTTTGATGCGGACGTTATTCAATAATCTGAATCGTTTGTGACCCTTCAGATCAGAAAGATATCTTCATTTTCACCGTTGTGATCACCCCCCCTCCGCAGCTACATAATAAGTGTGCCCCCCCCCCCCCCCAAGGCAGAATCCTGCCGACACCCGTGCTGTGATGCAAAGCTACAGATCAGTTTCCCCAACGTGCGTTCACCTAAATCGAAAAATATTTAGATAAAAGCTTTAAATTTTCACCTTCCTCAACAGAAGCGTGGCCGCCACAACCAAACTCAAGCACAAACCCAACTGCAAGTAACTATAGAAGGCGAATTGCCGTAGTGTTTAGTAAGGCCTGTCGTGCATGTCATTTGCTTGCGTAACGACGGAAACATACAAGTCTCACATACTTTGACTCCCTGTGTGCAGCCGGCCACGTCATACGCCCTGCGGGACAGCAGCGCCACTGTGTCGGCGTCCAGCTTCTGCATCATGAACTTGGCAAGGTCTGGATAGAAGGTAATCTTGGTGAAATCCTCGCCCTTGGCCTCCACCTTGATCTTGGGTTCGGTGGTCTTTCGCATGTTGTCCTCCCAGACCTGCGAGGATGGCCTTGATAGTTACACCTTTTTTACTTTCCGACGCTAATGCTATGCTTACAGTCTACGTGAGACTCTGCGCTGGTGGTGCCTCATAGGTGAACTGACTAGCTGATACTTAATACCCTGATTATTATATGCACGAACATGTACATAACATGTTCTTTCACATGCTTGACAGTAGATCAGTAACTTTCTAGACCATTAAAATGTTTCATTGCGTACACTCGGCCAAGAAAGGCGACGCGCTAACTTTCAGCTGCGTGTTTTCAAACATTCAAGGAGCCAAGACATTCGAGAGACTCACCTGCTTAAAAAGCTTCTTTTCGGCTCGCGAGTATGTCTCCACGATGAACTTCCTGCTGAAGATGTTGCACAGCTTGGCACCATAGCCGTTGCGGCCGCCTGTGACTTTCTTCTCTTCGTCGTTGTAGTTGGACGAGGTGAGCAGGTGGCCGAAGATGAGCGTCGGCACGTGCATCTTCTCTACGCGGTGCTCGACCACGGGAATGCCCTGGCCGTTGTTCCACACGGAGATGCAGTTCTGCTCTGGCTGTATAGTCAATCTGTATGGACAAGAAACGTGTATACGTTATGTAAGCAGGAACATCAGGCCCCTTGTACGCGAGATACTGCCCAGCTCCGGCTTCGATATTCTGGTCAAATCGGCAAATGAAGCCAGCGTCATCACAAAAGTTGTCCGTTTGGTAAACTCACGCTGCTTGAAGATCATGTTCCAGAGCGACTCTCTTCCTTCACACGTAAAGGTGGGCCATTTGCGGCATTCTGTGCGACCTTTCGTACCGAAGCCCTTACAGTGTCATAAGTGCTTGAAGATAGGCCACGTGAGAAGTGTACGCGAAAATAGGACGGTGTGTCCTCGTTGCGCGGAAGGCCATTCTGCGGATGACTGCGAAGCAACTACCCTTAAATGCTCGAATTGTCATGGGTTACATGCAGCTTCGTCAAAAGAATGCCCCCAAATCCAAAGAGAAATAGCGGTACTGAAACAAATGACCACAGACAATTCGTCGCTTTGAGAGGCTGCCAGGACCGTCCGAAAGAGGCGTCATCATCGCCGCAGTTCATCAAAGAATGCCGCAGACGCTGCATCGAGAGCGCCACTCCACCACCCTTCTCTTCCACCGCCCTTGCCTCCCAGACTGAAGGCGGCCAGCGCGGTCAACAAACCAACGAACAGCAAGGTTGCAGATGAATCAGTTTGGCCTTCATTGCCGAAATCACAGCCACCTGCAAATTCCAAGCGCACATCGACAATCACATCCCTCCAGCCAGCCGCTGACAATCTGCTTGAAGAGGACACAGAAGTCATTAGAATGTTCCGAATACTGCTGGATACCATGCGAAAGCTGTGCAGCAGCCTGAAATCTCCACTCGCTCAGAGTGCGCTACAAGTACTGGATGCTCCAAGTCCAGTATTTGCAAATCTCCAGTAGCAACCATGGCTCTACAAATTTTCTCCTTCCGCAACGAGGTCCGACAAGCGTCGATAATGCAGTGGAATGCGAGAGGCCTGAGATCCCGCATCTTTTCATTCTGTCAGTATATATTCATGAATCGTATTGCTATAATAGTTACATGTGAACCAAACGTGCAACAACCTCCTAAACTATCAGGGTATGAATCTTTTGTTTCTTCAACATGTGAGGAACGCAGCAAGGTGGTTCTTTACATTCACACAGATTTCACATATGTGCATCATGCAGTTCAACCGCATGACGACAATCAATATGTCTCCTTGCGTGTTAAAAAGGAAAAAGTGTCATTCACACTCATTGGTGTCTACATATCACCATCCGGACGATTTGAACACGACCGACTACGAGACATACTGACAACAACTGCGGGCCCGTGGGTTATAACTAGAGACTTCAACGCACATCACTTAATCTGGGGTAGTTCGACGATCAACGATAAAGGAAGAAACCTCGTGTCATTCGCCGGCAAGCACGACCTATGTTTCTTAAATGATGGCAGTCCTACATACCTGCGGGGCCTTACGTACAGCAGCTGCCTCGATTTGACTCTGGTATTCAGAAACTTCCGGTCGCAAGTGCACTGGTTTTCAGACATCGAAACGCATGGGAGTGACCACATTCCAACTTATATGCGAATAAGGGGTCTTACTAACTCCTCTCCTAAGACCACAATACGAAGAATTGATTGGTCCGAATTTCAGCGACTCATGGTAAATACATGCCATGACGACCCTGAGCAGAACTTGGAGGATGTCAGAAAAGAGGCAATGAGGGAAGCTTCCTGTTTCCTCTCGTTCACCGGCAAGCGTTCAGATTTCGACGTTGAACTGAAAAACTGTGTGCGCTTCGCCGAAGGGCGGAAAGGAGATACAGGCGGACGAAAGCAATATGCGTCTTGAGGCTGGCATGACGCATCCAGAAAAAAATCCAACGACGTTTAGACAAACTTGAACAGGAACGCTGGAAATCATTCTGCGAATCATTGGATCCCCGAAAGCCGTTGTCACGCATCTGGAGCACTATTAGTGGCCTGCGCTCGACTCCCCAACAAAGACATCCTTTCATGGCTTTAGCCCTACATTTAGGCCGCACCCAACTTGAAGTGGCAATCGAGTTTTGTACGCGAATCGCTGGTGTGTCTGCCTTGTCCGCTGGCACCATTAGGAGTGTTATCCCTGAACCCCGCATCTCCGAAATGGACAATCTTTTCACTATAGAAGAACTTGACGCATTTTTGGCGGCTTCCCGACGATCATCTTTACCAGGACCCGACGGCATCACCTACGCCGCTCTAGCGAACCTTCAACAGGAGGCAAGGGGGCAGTTGTTATGCTATTACAACCACTCATGGCAGGCGGGCATTGTTCCCCAAGATTGGAAGATAAGTCGATACGTGCCACTACTCAAAGCACGAAAGTCACCATTTGATTTCACATCATTTCGCCCTATCGCCCTCGCAAATTGCGCAGGAAAAGTCATGAAAAGGATAGTCCTTACACGCCTAGAATGGTACCTCGAGCGCTACAACGTATACCCAAACTACATGACGGGTTTTCGGCGTGGTAGGTCATCTCTTGACAACGTGATTGATCTCACATCATTTATCCAGCAACAGAAGAGCCTCAAGCGCATACCACTGGTACTCTTCCTCGACGTCAAAAGGGCTTATAATAACGTAACACATAAAGCCATCCTAGACTCGTTAGAAGCTGTCGGAATCGGTGGTCGGATGTTCCAATGGATCCAGGATTATTTGACGAGAAGGTCCTTTTTCGTACAAACCTCAGAAGGACCTACCCCCAATTACAATACCTCCCGTGGCGTCCCCCAGGGCGCCGTATTAAGTCCCACTTTATTTAACCTCGTGATGGTAGGACTTCGTGAACTTTTGCCAAGTACTATCCTCATATCCATATATGCTGACGATATTGGTCTATGGACTTCGGCCGCAACTCGTCTACAAGTACGTGCAAGAGTCCAGCAGGCTGCCACCCTAACATACTCATATCTCCGCAAGCAAGGTTTTTTCGTGTCAACGGAGAAATGTGCATTGGTTGCGTTTACTCGCAGAGCCATGACACAATACCCCGTTACCATCAATGGACAAAATATTCCATACCAGAAGAACAATCGCTTCCTGGCTGTGATTATTGACAGGGACCTTTCGTGGAGTGCCCACTGCAATTACCTGAAGAGAAGGCTAACTTCCATCGTCCATATAATGCGGTTCCTCTGCGAAAAATCTTGGGGCACATCGATAAGGTCAATGATGCAGCTATACAGGGCACTGTTTCTGAGATTTTCGCGCTACAGCTTGTCGTTACTGGCAAGTACTTGCAAGACGAACATCCGCACCCTCGAAAGTCTGCACAGGCAAGCACTACGCGTGTGCTCAGGATTGCCGCGATGCACCTCAAGCAACGGGGCAATTATAATCGCAAGAGAGCATTCAATTTAAACATACATCACCACTGACAATTTGAGAGCCCACATAAGACACCTCTGCCGAGTTTCTGGTCACGATGTTGCAGTGTTGTCACTTCAAAGACCACAAGCGATGTTTTCAAAGATTATTTCTGCCCATAGAGAATGCCTTCCTTGTTGCTTTACTTCAGCAACAAAACCAGCGTCACCTCTGTGGTGACTACAACAACCACAAGTGTGCCTCACTATTCCGGGAATAATGAACAAGAGCCGTCATTCAACAGTTGTCCTACGACAGGTGACTGTCGCTACTCAACGAAATATACGGCCAGAGGACCCACATTTACACCGATGGATCGGTCTCAGCTGACAGCTCAACAGGTGCTGTTGTAATCACGACGTACCAGGTCACTATAAAGTTCAAACTGTCGCATAAGACAACATCCACAGCAGCGGAGCTTGCCGGCTTACGTGCTGTTATACTATATATCACGGAAGCCCGACCTCAAAAATGGGCTCTGTTCTGCGACTCCAAGGCATCCCTTCAGAGCTTGCAATCAGCTTTACGACAAAGAGAGCATCAGCAACTAGTGAATGAAATAAGAGAAGTGATTCACGAAGTTTTATCGAAAGGACAGGACGTGGTGTTCCAGTGGTTACCGGGACATTGTGGTATTGTCGGTAACGACCTTGCTGATAATGCTGCCCGATCCGCCCACGTGGACGCCCACACAACCCCAATTCCATTGTCAAAAAACAACGCTGCAAGGGGCCTTCACTCGTTCGCTAACACCATGTCGGAAACTTGGCTGAGTGACCCCAGTGTCAGGAACCGCCGCCTACACAAATTGGACCCATCAAGAAAGCTTCAAGTTCTATCGGACCTCTCCCGCGAGAGTGCAACTTTACTTTGCCGCCTGTGGTTAGGAGTAGCTTTTACAAAGGCGTACTCCTTTTGCATAGGAATGGCGGATAGCTCCCGATGTGAATCTTGCGACACTGACGAGACAATACAACAACTACTGTGTTCGTATGAACGTTTTGCGAGCGACCGCAACTTGCTACGCGAAACGTTAGAGATACTAGACAGTAGACCTTTTTTCCGAAGAAAAGATCCTTGGTTCATGGTTCTACGCGTCGCAGGCCAGCAAAGCGACGCGGGCATTGCTAAGTTTTCTGAAGACGATCTGACTACGTGACCGCTTATAAGCGTGCAATGGACAAGGTCACGTCTACACACACGTTGCCCTTCACTTCTCTCTCTCTTCTCCTTTAATCCCCTCACCCCTTCCCCCAGTGCAGCGTAGCAAACCGGACGCGCGTCTGGTTGACCTCCCTGCCTTTCATTTCTTCCCTTCCTCCTTCACCTCCTCCTCCTCCCTCATGAATGCAATTTTTATTCATTAATGTTTGTGTGTGAGAGAGAATAAAATGAGGGAAAGGCAGGGAGGTCAACCAGAAACTCGAGCATTCGGTTTGCTACCCTGCACTGTGATGAAACGGCAGCAATGAAACGATAGAAAACGTTCTCTTCCACTGCCCTCGTTACAGAGTGCAAAGACGGCAGCTAGCTGCTGCGTTAGCTCGACTTGACGACAGACCCTTGTCAGAACAGTCAGTGCTTCAAAGGTGACATGA